CCCTCCCCCCACCTTCCGTCACAAAAATCACGAACACTGCCTGTGAACATTCCGAAGGACTAGTACACCTGGCACATATGGGCTTATGTTGGTTCCATGTTTTCGTACTGCGTGTTGTGCTCGCGTATGGTTATGTATTTCGTAGCCCCCGATCAGTGGAAGGTTCGGACAATTAATTAGCTGTCGACATGCCTTTCTCTCGGGCTGCACTGAAAAACAAATGATTGTTCCAACGACCGTCTTGATGACTGCCGGTGGTTGTGCCATGTCGTTGGGCCAGGATATCGTGTCGTTTGCAGTAGCAGCCGCTTGCAACTCAAGTTCCTGCAGCCATTCGAAGGACAAAATGTTGTCGGCGCAGTGATACCTGATGTCGTTGGAACACTGACACATTTTTTGAGTGTGTCATGGCTATGGAGAAGAGGAATAGAAGTAACTCAACTGAAAGACGAGGTTTTGTCGTCTGCCGACAAAAATCTTCTTTATTGCACAACAAAACACTTTATTCGTTGTCAAACTTTACGTGAGACGGTCGGGCCTATTTCAGAGTTCACGGTCGCAGGATCATCTCGAAAAATACGAATATTTGTAGAGCACGTACCCCTATCGTGATGCGGTTGGCGGCCCCCCTTCTGATTGACCTGGCTGCTCGCTCCAATCATGCAAGGGCGCCCCGCCCCGTAACCCATGACCTCACGAGGCGCACGCGGCGGGCTGCTTTATGGCCAGGGTATTTGGAAAAGGGGAATGAGAACGGATCGGCCCGGTCAGGCTGCGAGGCCCCCGGGCAGAGTGAGAAAGGGGTGGTGGGGGGGGGTAGAAGGAGGCGAGGGGAAACGAGAGAGCGAGAGAAAATGCAGGACGTATGTGTGACAAGGGAGTAGAGAGGGAGAAAAATCGGTGACCCGAGACCGTACGAGACTCCTCATAGGCAGGCAGTGCCGGCGGGCGCGAGCGCGCAGCGGGCCAGGCTACCCTCCAGGCGCTCTCCACGGAGCGGCGGTGGCACCGCCTGGCCCGGAGCTCGGGAGCTCGGACGCTACCATATGCAGCCGGAACTTGGTTTCAGCCAGCCCCGCCCGCTGTACCCCGACGCCCCCGCCTGTCGTCGCCTTTCGTATGAATGCCGCACTAACGGCGGTTTTGTTTCGCTGACTACGTAACGGACGTCCGGGACAACAACAAACGCAGCGGGGAGGGAGGTGCGGACGGGGGCGGGCCGGGGGTGCTGGGTGTGCTGCTGGTGTGTTCGTACTTCCTACAGGAACTTGGGGGGTGGGGGCGCCGACGGAACTAGGTCAGTGTAACTGGCCCACCTAGCAGTTTCGTGTGTGCTTCCGTCGGTTTAAATCTCTATTTCTCTCCCCCTTTCACCCTTCTTCTTTAACTACTACCTTCTTTTATCTTCCTTCTCTTCCTCGTTCGTTCTCGCTGCCTATCTTCTCAAACTACTGAGCAAGACACTGCAGGGCAGGGGGCTGGGGTGTGCGGGAAAGGGGGTTGTAGCTGCGGAGATGGGGTCGTCTGGTCTGCGGCGATGGGATGGGTGGGGGCACTGCAGTGCGGTGCGGCGACACATGGGCAGCTGATCAGTAATAGTCCGCTCCATAATGGGGCACCACAACAGCTCCGCGCGCCGCCACACGCCGGAGGTTGGCGCGGCAGGGGAGGGGCGGCGGGGACATGAGACGCAGCAGGCTCAGCACGGACAGCAGGCGGTAGGCGGCTAGGCGTCGTGTTCAAACCACACCTTACGCAGGCGCGTATGGTGCGCTGCCACCCGTGCTTTTCCCTTTTTGGGCGGAGCCGAAAGTAAAGCCCGTCTCCGGGGCGGCAGTGTGTGGGGTGTGTACGTACGTGTGGATGGCATGATGTATAGAGGAATGGGCGGAGCGGAGGGGGCAACTTTCACCGTAACGGCGTTCTCAGAGAAGACGGAAGAAAAGTCTAATAATAAGGGGGTCTGGAATTGATAACGAGTCGGGAAGCGTTTAGCGGGGAAAGAGGAGAAAATAGCCGTGGCCCGGGCGCCACGTGGCCCGTATTATTGACCCCCCACGGGCCGCACCTCGCCACGCCCCGCCACGCCACGACACGACACGGGGTGACCTGAGGTGAGGTTCGTTGGCCCGCAGCCAGAGAACATAGGGCTGGCCCAGCGGAAGGGCCGTGCCGGGCCGTCCTGATAGTCCAGGAGTGACAGCAGTCAAATGTTCGTCAGGGGGCGGCCCTGGCGGCCCCAAGGGCGGCCCCGGCCTTCCTGGCGGCCCTGCCCGACTGACGTGTTTTTCTTCCCGCCAGACGATAGGAACATTCTCACGTCGCTCATCGATTCGAGACGTGGCGTGGCCTGGCGTGGCCGACGTGGCGTGAGAAGAAGATGGCCTGCGAGCGCGCGGGGGCGTGGGGGCGGGCTCTGTTGTGATTATTCAGAGCACGGCAAGGAGGGCCAGAAAGGTAACTGAATTTATAACTCACCCCACTTCCCACCGCCCTCTTCCTCTTACTGCTGCCTCCTTTTCTGACCTTAATTTAGGTATCTTCAACGCGACGCCCCCCCCCCTTCTCCCCTGCCTCCGCTCGCCCCTCCTGCAGCCCTCCCTCTGCGGCCAAACCCCCCGCTCAGCTCCCACGGCTCGCACACGGGCGCGCCGCGGGGGTGGCGTAGCCAACGGGGGTGAGGGGGCAGCAGAAGGGGGAGAGCCGGGGAGAGCAGAGTAGCCTATCGATGAACTCACTGACGGGGAGAGCGGACGTGCCGAGCATTAAGACGTCTCCCGAGGATCTCCAAACTTTACGTTCTACTGTGGCCGTGGCCGAGGAGGTTGTTGCGTGGGCTCGCGAGCGCCTCTCGGCGCGCTCGCGCGCGTGTGT